ATGATGCTTATATGTATTTATACGTATACCTTTATTGGTGATGCATTATTTAATTAAGTTACCTTTGGATATCTTATATTTACCTAATTAAAAATAAAAAAAGCATACGACCCTTTAATTTTTATTTAATCACTTGAAAATCAATTCCCTTTGAGGAATTATTTCTCATAATTAAATAAAATCAATATTCATGAATATCACAAAAAATTATAAGCATCATAATTCATGAAATATTACAATTATGTTTACTACTAAAATTAATATTCATCAACTATTATGGTTAGGCCACTTTGGTAGCTACTAACCTTTATATAATATGAATAATAAATTAGATAGTAACTAATTTATAATTAATTATGTCTATTACAAAAAATTAATATTCATCAATCATTATGATTGGGCCACTTTAGTAGCTACCAATCTTCACATAATATGAATATTAAATTAAACAGTAATTAATTCATCATTAAGTTATATTTACTACTAAAATTAATATTCATCGACCATTATAGTTATACCACTTTGGTAGCTACTAACCCACACATAATATGAATATTAAATAAACTAGTAATTAACTAATTATTAATTTCCCTATTTAACATTATACACACATACTCATAATTGTCGATTAAAGTTTAAGCAATTTCGATATCAAAAACTTAATAGTTCAAAATTTTATAGAAAATATCTTTTTATTTTATATACATAATAAAATATATTATTTTATTTTTGGACTTAAAGATCATAATTGAATCAATTTAAAATTGATTCTACAATATGTATGTATGTTTGGGTACGAAACAACAAGTTATTTGCATGTCTAATTTATTAGATTAAATTTCTAAACTCACAAATTATTCTAGAAATTCAAATTCCTAAAATAAATAAATCAGTACATATATTTTATGTATTCAATAACTTTAATTTTAATTTATTTTAAATTAAAATCAGAATCTTCAAATCATTGGACAAGTACTTATAACAATAATTTAAACCTCTTTAATAAAATAAATAAATACACAAACTTTATGTATTTATTAATTTTTAAATAATAATAATAATGAATCTTTGTAATCCTTTCACAACTGACTATTTCTATAAAACAATAGCAAGACAAATGCTATTATTATTATTATTATTATTATTATTATTTTAATTCAATGTTCTTTATTAGTCATGCACGAAAATTAGTAACCTAAAGCATTGAAGTTGTTTGTCTTACACACATTATGCATACGTTTGTACTATTACATATATGTAAACTATGTATCAGTAACCAACTTTCATAATTTAATTTTGGCTTGGAAATTGAGGTACCCAAACCCAAAAACCACATGGACTGAACTAAACATACGATTCTAAAAGAATGGATTATACAATCATTTAATTTTAAATTTATACATATTATTTATGCAACTTTAATGAAAAATAATGAATTCCTAAACCGTTAACTCTGATAACACATGTAAACTATAATAATTCGTATTAAGCCATTAATCACAAATTTACATGAATCCCATATCTTAGAACTTCATGATTTTCACATATCTATAATGCATAAATAAATACTAGTTAGATATAAATACCTCGATTCATGATATCAAACCTTGTTGAGATTAAATCCAACTTCTAGATCCTTTAAGCACGAACTAATCTGCAACTCTGATCAACAGGCAAAGGTAGAAACTGGTTTCTCTCTCTTAGCCTTTTGTACACATAAAACTTTTACGTGTTGTATCATTAATTGTACATAATTGATGGAGTGTATGCACTTTTATAAAGGCAGAGAGAGGACCAATTTTCCTATTAGTAACATAATTCTACTTTCCATCAAAGTAAAAAATAAGAAAGGAAAACACTTCTCCAATAAGTAATTACCAAAAAGGTAATTATAAGTTGACCAAAAATAAATAATATTAATTGATATCTATTTACTTACCCACCAAGTAATATGTCACATGTCCAAATCATGTGGGCCACAATTAAATAAATAATCTTACACTTAGTTCATTTATTATCCTATTTACACTTGCATGCCCACTGTGCACTGTTATTATCCACTTTGTTATCTAATCAAGCACATCTGACTTCAAATCATCATAACTTCTTCGTTTTAACCGTTCTTGAGTCTAAATTGATCGCGTCGAAATAAGCTTTCCAATGGTACTAATTAGAGATTCATATTCTTCTTGTGGCTCAAGTTATTCAAGTTTTAGTATGGTAGTGTCTGTTTTTGGTTCGAACTGGGATAGGGTTTCCCTTCCTTCGACTTCAGAACTTGATATATTTGCCGTCCGGACTCCGAATCAAGTGATTCTTGAGTGTATCCTTATTAATTTTTCGTTGTCTTTCCAATGGTGTACACAATGTTTTGCCTGGAAATGACCATACATGCAAACGTAACTTACCTATTTGGACGTGCTACAGTAATCCACGACTTAAAAATACCACCGATACAAAATCCGACGCCCCAACGGGCAAAAAAGACAACCAAAGGAAAAGAGAACTTGAATACTACGCTTGGAAATCAAAGAGATGTCTTTTCAAAAATGAGATACAATATGATCCTCACACTAAAGATGCATGCTTGTTAAGAAGAAGAAAGCCTTTGTATGATCATTTTATTCTTCGTCATGCCATTTCTCCTTCGTCCGGACTCCAAATCATGCGATTCTTGAGTTCATCTTTATTAGTTTTTCGTTGTCCTTCCAGCGGTGTGCTCGGTGGCACTAGTTGCTGTCGATGCTACCTTACTGACTAGCAAGTGTGGGCGGGCACTAGGTACTGTCATTCCTACCACACATTTGAGCAATCTAGATGTGGCCACAAACATAAACATAAATTTAAAGTCGGAAACCCAACAGGATGAATAGTACACTTGGAGCAAATTAATTAATCTAATAAATTAGTTATAGCTGAATGGGAACTCCCTGAAGGAACTGCTCGTCCACCGGCCAAGCCACCAGACCTTATGAATTGAAGCTTCAAGCACATTCCTGAGGTTTCGGTTTTTTATGCCGTTTCTTCTGTTGTTCATATTTTCTCATCTCGAATTTTTTTCATTCACGGAGTTGTACAATGATTTAAATGCACTAGTATGGGATGGTGGCATTTTAAGGATGGATTAATAGAACAGTTAAGTCCTACCTATTCTAAATAAGCCCTACTTATTATATATCAGACCACTCTATAGATGGGTGATATTTTATTTTATGTTTGATGGACTTTATATATGTATAGATAAGTGTCATAATATGTGCTTGAGTCTCAGGATCGATGGTTAGGATTCGTATATTGTATAGGGTGGTATATATATCCGTATTCAAAGTGAGAGAATACTATGCACTCAAAAAATCACCAGTTTTCATTTTATCTCCTTAACTCAGGAAGACGAAAATGATAATCATATTCATTTCACTCAAATTGAAGCCCAATATATTTTTTTGTTACAAGTATCAATTTCTTGTATTCTTTACTCAATAATTATGAAAAATAGATTTTGATTATGTTGATAGTATTTTTGTCCTCAATTTATTTACTTAAATTAACGTTCTAAAAATAAATAAATAAATTCTAAATTTGAGTAGTACTAAAAAGAGTACTAAAAAATAATTAAACCCAACTACTTTTTTTTTTTTTTTTTTCCTTAAATGTATCTCCTCTTATTCGTCCTCTTTTTTTTTTTTTTCTTTTCTCTTTTATATGGTATAAAATCAAAAGGAAGTCAAATAATTTCCTGATGCCATTGTAATGGCTAGTTCTTGACAGAAATTGATAATTTTTAGGGGAAAAAAAAAAAGAAAAAGAAAGAATGAGAGTGTTGGAAGTACAAACAAAAACCTAATCATCCTATTTATGTTCTCGGCAAAATTTGGAAAATTTTAAGGAGTGAACGAATAGGAGATAACTTAGATAGGAGTTCCTTTTATTGTGCCACTAGAGTCCAACATCCCCCACTAACAAATTGGACAACATAACCTCCATGCAATGCTAGATCTCCATGGTGATGGAGGAATAACACGACGTTGGGTCATTTTTTTTATATTCATCAAGTGAGTCTCACTCCTTCTAGATTTCCATGGTGACAGAGAAGTTTTGACAGATTTTTGTTTATTATATTCAATTATTTTGTTGAAGAAGAATAGAAGATGAAATTTTACCTAAAAAAAAAAATTGAATAGAAGATGAAAAATAAAGAAAGAAGAATGAAGTTCAAGAATTTAGGGTCGGTGTTTGTATTGTAGTGAAGAAAAAATATGAAATATTTTCGGTAATATTTTTTGTGATTTAAATAGTATCGAAGTGCTTTCGAAAAAGCTACCAAAACTAAAAGTACCAAATTGATGCTTCAAGTTGTTTCGGCACTCCAACAAAAGCACGTTAAAATAAAAATAAAAAAACTTTAAAATGACATTTTTAACTAGTTATTTAAATTTTCAAACTTGTAATATTTTTTTTTACCAAACATGCTTTCATGATTTTGCTTTCAAAAATCTTGTAACAAAAAAAATTTACCAAACATGCTTCCAAATAATATTAAACACACTTCAAAGCATAAACATTGTTTTTGCTTCGAATCAATCAAAAAAGTAATCGTGATTGCCAAACAAACTCTTAATTTTTCATTTTTGAAGTTGGAGAGAAACCGATATAATGGATTGTGTGTTATATCAATCTCTCCTCAACTTCAAGGAAAAAAAAAATTATGTATTAGAGTTTTCCATTTCAGTCGATTTTAGGTAAGGTGAGAGAATGTCATCAATTATATCTCGTTCTTACACAAAAGGTCTATCATTGCAATTGATGTTTTGCAATGAAATTTCCTTGTTCCCAAGAATCATTTTGTTGCAAAATACCTCATACATGGTTGAATTCATTTTTGTTGTTGCAACAAATATTGTCATTAAGTATGTTTTAGAAGGAGATCACCAAGTCAACCACATTTGACCTCTTGTGATGTACAGTTACCAAGCCAATTTGACAACTGAATTTGGGATCTCTTTTGATGTACAGTTACAAGTCAATATGCCTGTTGAATATGAATCTGCAGTTAGAAGCTAAAAATCTTCCAAACCATGCAAAAATTACATGACTCTCTCTCTCTCTCTTCCTTCATTTACTAATCAGATTCTGAATAAATTCAGACAGTGTCCCTTGTAAATATTCTTGAGATTCCTCATTTACAAACATCTCAGGTTGGTACAAATCCCCACCACTACCACTTGCCATTCTATAGTACTCCTTGGAGGCTTTTGTTTGCTTGAATGTGCTCTTCTTTTCACTCTTTATATGTGAATCTTTTCTTGATGGACTGATGTTGGTGTGATGAATTGATTGCATCATATATGAAGAAGAGCTTTTATCTAGCTTTTTCTTCCATGGACCCTCTGTTTTGCAACCTTTCAGGTCTTGTTTTGGATCATATACTGAGGTGGTTGATTGCCCATTCTGATGATTAACCAAGTAACTAGCAGGTGAATCTCCTTCCAATATTCTTAAGACCTGTATATATATATAACAAGCAGATAACTATGAGTAAAACCCAAATGTATAAGTGAAAATTTGATGCATCTAGAGATTAGATATAGACTAAAGCCGGACCCTCCACCTAGGGGTATGTTGGACATTCAAACAAGGCCCGGACACGCGGACATGGCTCAGACACCGTTAGAAATGTCCTGAAATTTAAATATTTTATTTTGGTTGGACATGACACGTTTTGGATACTTCTAGGACACAGCGGGGTGATTTTGTAATTTTATTTTATAATAATATAATTTAAAATATATTATGAATTAATACGAAAAATTATATAAAATTTTAAATAAAAAATATTTAATTCTAAACTCCAAATCATTATTTTCATTCATGATTATGTGGATAAATGAATAAAAATGATTGTTTTTTTGAATATATAATAAGATATTATATTATTATTTTTTGATGTATTCTTTTTTACGATTAATCTTATCGCCATGTCTATATCGTGCATAACCATGTTCGTATCCGTGCTTCTTAGGTTATAGACTTTGGTATTGTTCAATAAAACTGAAAATCAAGTAATGAAAATTTTAAGTGCTAAGTGAAGTATGTGCCATTTAAAAAATTTCTTATTGCTGAATTGGGTTATCAAATAGTTTTGTGTTTGTAGAGATCTAACCTTGGACATCCTTGGTCGTTGTTCAGGGTGAGGCAAGATACATAAACTGGCAGCATGAATCATGCACTGCACTTCATCCTCTACGTAGTTATTCTCCAATCGAGGGTCAATTATCTCATTAGGCTTCTTCTTCTCTAGTAATTGACGGCTCTGCAACAAGAAAATTGGTTGAACTATATATCAGTATCACAATGTAATGCTAGTTGACAGAGTCGGCCCTGAGATTGACAAAATCTTGAGAGATCCTAGGCGAACTTAAATGTGAGACCCTTTAATTAGTGAAATGCATACTAACATAATTAAATTTCAAATCATATCAAAATTAGTGCCTTAAAAACTTGGTACTTAATGGGCTGTGAATTCGTTTAATTGAAGGGTTCTAAGTTTTTTTTTAATTTATTTGGGCCTATCATTCATGGAAAGGGGCCTAAGTTTAGTGTTTTTTTTTTTTTTTTTAAAACCTATCCTAATAGAGCTAAAAATTTTGAGGCCTCTAAATATTGAGGCCCTAGGGGACCGCCTTGGGCAAGGGCCGGCCCTGTAATGAAGTGTGGTGTTTAGAAGTGTGTGTCTGTGTGTGTGTTTTGGGGGTGGGAGGTGAAGGGTACTTGCCCATTCTGGTTGATAATGTTGTCCCCCATTTCTTGAAAATTCAGTTGCTTTGATGCCAGTTATGAGCTCCAACAGAACAATTCCAAATGCATATACATCTGCTTTTTCAGTAATCAGACCAGTCTGTGTGTACTCAGGAGACAAGTACCTGAAACATAATGTTCATTAGACATCAACCACTTTATGCAACAAATGTCAATAATTTGGATATGCTTTTGATGTGTCAATCTCAATCCGATCAGTCTTCTAAATGTTACAACTGGTTCTTTAACACAAGAGAATGATATTAATACCCGAATGAACCAATGACACGTGTCTCCTCGGCTGATTGGCCATCTGCTTGCCACCTTGCTAGACCAAAATCTCCCACCTTGACACAAGTACTAGATTGTTAATCCATTATGAAATTAATTGGAGAGGTGAAAAAAAAAAAAAAAAAAAAAAGGGATTGTAAGTACCATGGATTCAAAGTCATGGGTTAGGAGGATGTTGGTAGGTCTGAAGTCTCTGTGCACAATACAACCAACCCTGCAATCTTCATGAAGATATCTCAAACCTCTTGCAGCTCCAATTGCAACCTTCATCCTATTATGCCAAGCCATCACCTCACTTGTCTCCCTTCCTGCATGATTCATCACAATCTCTCAGTACAGAATTATATTCGCGGTTTTTTTTTTGGTGATGAAAATGTGTACATCCATTTTGTCACAGAGTGGTCATGTTGTGATGCTTGTCAATTCGAGTTTTTACCATTATACCGAGCAATGATGACCTAATGGTAACAGAATTTCAAATGATGGAAAATCTTACCATATAAGTGCTTGTCTAAGGAACCATTGCAAGCAAACTCATAGACAAGGAGCCACTGAATTTCAATGCAGTAGCCAACCAGCATCACCAAATTCCTATGCTGAGCACAGCTCAGTGCTTCAACCTCGGAGCAAAATTCTGATGCTCCTTGCGCACTCACCATTTTGTGTTGCTTCACTGCAACCACCTGCCCATCATGTAACACTCCTCTGTATACCGGACCAAATCCACCTTCTGCCAAGAAGTTGTTCCTCGAGAACCCATCCGTTGCTTTCTCAATCTCTTCGTAGCTGAACCTCCTTGGGGCCTTCCCGAAAATGGGGGCATTGTGCTTGCAAACAGAGCAAAGTGGTGGAGGGGTTGGTGGTTGTTTGATGGAAAGAGACATGGCCTTTCTAATGCTTGAGGTCCGGTCAATTGTTGGAGAAGAGGAATATGTCACGACTTCATCTTCGCTACCACTCACGAGTTCTCCTCTCATTTTAATCCGTTGTCTTGACTCATTCAAATGCCTTGGCTCTTGCCACAAGCGCGAAGAATCTGTTGATCTTCTAGCTGGAATTGATGCTGTCTTTCTCACTTCAACACTACTATTTCTGCTCATGTCTCTTTCAATTTTACCTATTAATATTAAGAATTACTCATCATTGTTAGACCATACAAATGCATAATCTTTTGAACCAAATCAGTAACACATGTAACCAATTTCATACCACTTTTTGTCTTCAAAGGACTGCTTAAATTTTTAGTCTTCTCTTTTATGCTGCAGGATGTAGGAGAAGAGGGATATGTCACTACTTCATCTTTGCCACTACTCGCGAGTTCTCTTCTTGTAATCCGTTGTCTTGACTCATTCAAATGCCTCCCCTTTTGCCCCAAGCGCGGAGAATCTGTTGATCTTCTAGCTGGAATTGATGCAGTCTTTCTCACTTCAACACTACTATCTCTGTTCATGTCTGTTTCAATCTTACCTAATAATATTAAAAAGTAGTGACCATTGTTATACCACAGTCACACAAATTGCATAATTGTTTTAACCAAATCAGTTACACATCGAAGCAATTTCATACCACTTTTTGTCTTCAAATGACTGCTGAAGGTTTTGGTCTCCTCTTTTGAAGCACTGAATGTCGACTTTTGAGGCGATTCAACATCAGATTTTGACATCTTATATAATGGTTGTGACTTACCATGTGGTGGAGTGTACCTATACATTGCTTCAGTTTCCATTTCAGGGCTAAAAAACCGCGAATTTGATAGGGGAGAGGCACTGTTTGGCTTGAATTTGGTGACAGAAGGGCTTGTCTTGTGGAAGAACTGGTCTTGGTCTGTTTGGGTTGAGAAGAATGAATTGTCAGGTTTGGAATGTGGACTGCCTGAGCTAGAACTGGTTCGTGTTGTTCGGCTTTTGCTACTGAGATTGTTAGTAGGAAGCACACCTAGCATGTCAGCTACTGTTGGATCACTTGTTCTGTCACCCACATTGATCTTTTTCTTTGTTGGGAATTCAACTGATCTGAGGATTTTTGGAATGGCATGGTCTATGAGTATGATGTTGCAATTGATCAATTCTTTTAAGCAACAGTCACCTTCCTTCTTCAAGCGCCTGTAGTTTTGAGAGAAATTGAATTGGCATTGAATCATAATGAATGGAGTGTTACAATTGAGGTATGAAGCTATGTCAACAAAAGAAATGAATCCTGGTTTACCCAAAAAAAAAAAAAAATCCTATGATAATACACACATATAAGGGCATGTTTGGTACAGTTTAATTTTTTTAGAATTGTTTTCTATTTTCAGAAAACTAAAATAAAAAAATTTTACAAAAATTTATTTGGTTGTCATTATTTTTAAAATAATTTTTAATTCTCTAAATTTCTGAGAACCGTTTTTGGAGAACTAATTTTATAATTTCCTGAAAATAATTTAATTCCTAACTATTTTCAAAAAACTAAACCAAACAAACCCTTAAAAACACCGGCTTCAATTCCCATATTTGTCGCCACATTTGAGTTTGCTTAGTCAACAGGCCTTAAATTTCGAATTTCTTTGTGTTTGTTTACTATGAAAATGATGATATAGTGTGTATATATATATATATTTAGGTAAATGTACCTATCAAGAATGACCCATGTTGCTCCAAGTTCCTCAGCAGCCTTAGCAACTGACCCCATTTGTGCATCAACCACAACTTTAACCTCTGTAATAACCTGTCATATATCATGCAATTGATTCAATATATCAGCAACTTAATTATTACAAATTACTAGAAATTGATTGTAATCGCAATTAATACTGTTCAACCTCATACGTAAAATGAGTAGTTGACTACAAGAATTTATTAATATTATTAAGCAAATGAATTTGGACGATTGTCCACGATTTTGCACTTAAAAATATAATATACCTCCTCAACATTGTGCACCAAAAATAGTTGTTGCATCATCTGTAGACACACGTTGTTTATTCTTTGGGGCACATCATGACCATCAACTGGGCCTGTCTTCTGATCAAGCGTTGAACCTTGCTCATTATGCCCAACACTTCTTTTCTTTAACAGGCCTAAATTGACGATATTGTACATTGAACACCATACCTACAATTAATATGAGTTGTGCTATATATACAAACCAAAATAGTAACTTGTTTATCAAATTGACATCACAAGTACTCTTTTGAAACTGAGGAAACAAAGAAAAATAGTACTTGAAAACTTATCAGAGACTGATAGGCATTAGCCAGATAGTATAATCTCGACCTCCTCCTTGAAGGAAAGGTTGAGAGTTCAAACTCTGACAGGGACAATATTGTGAGTGTGTGCGAGTTTGCTTGACAAGAAAACTTACGAGAGAGGAAGTGGTAAATCTGAGACTGATGTGACTGGTTCCCGGCAGCCAGAGGAGGACGTTCGCGGGATGGAAGAACAGCAAGAAGAACCAAAGAATCCATAGCTTTGATCACATTGAGAACAGCCCATTCCAGAGCATAATCTGTGATCTCTTTACTTGCATCAACTGCCACTACTATCACCTCCTCACCCATCATTTTTGGTCTCTCAAAGATTATTAGTTTCTTGATGCCCCAAACACATCTAAGCAAGAAGCTAGCATGGAGGTCATTGACTTGAAAGATGGTATTGGTTACAAAATGTTAGTTTTTTCTCTTGTTTTCTCTTTTAATATTTATTTAATATTATAAATGTAAAAAGTGGTGATAGAACAGGTCTGGTCTGGGAGTGTTGAGAGGCATGCAATGGGCACCACTAGGCAGAATTTGGTGAAACATTTGAACTGTTCTTCTGTCTTTTAGCATTTGGAGGATGGTGAACATTCTCTGTCCCCTTTTCACTTTAGAACTTTTGGAGAAAATAAAATACACACACACACATATATATATATATATATATATCAAGTCTCTGAATTTTTTTTAATTTTTTTTTTACACCAATGGGTTAGTGGCCTATGGTATCAGACCCTTACTTTTTAAAGGGAGGTCATATGTTCAAGTCTCAATGGAGACATGTACGTGTAAACATCAATTAAAAAAAAAAAAAGTCTCTCTCATTTCGTAGTATCACATTAATAGGTAATGACTAATTTTTTTATGGGCTAAAATCATAAAACCCCCCTTAATATTTTCAAATTCACCGTATAACCTTCTCAATTATCAAGCAACTCCCTCAACTAATAAAAACTATCACGTTGTCTCATTTTTCGTGAGAGAACCATTAAATTGTAGTAAAATGACAATAATGCCCTTGATAGTATATTAATATTTTATTAAACTGAAATTGTTGATTTTAAAGTGTGAAGGGTAATTTCGTCAGTATGAATCATAAGGTTATTTTGATCCGCAAAATAATGCAACTATTGCATGTGATTGTCACGGGATACTATCCTATTAATTTTAGCCGAGAAACTAACGAAAATGAATTGATATAATAGACTTTTTAAAACATCAAAAATTTATATAATAGTTTCCTTAATTGAATGAGAAGGGGTTGGATGATTTTAGGCTTTTTTTATCGACCAAGTGAACCGGGTAACATTTCTTATTGAGTTCAACAGTTCATGTCCTAGTAGTCTCATAGCTTTATTATATACAAATATACATATTATATGCATATTTTATATTTATATATATATAGGTTATATATATAAGGACAGATTCAAACTAGGTGGGGCTTTGGCCAGTGGTGGTGTATAGCGAAAGAAAGGGTGGCCCACAGGCCGTAACACCACCTCACAAAATAGTGGGTCCCTTCTGTCCTGTGCCTTGTTTTGATGTACCGAATCTCATATGAACAAAAAAAAAAATCTAAGTTCACCTCACAAAATATTTGAGTAATTAATTACCTTTTTTTTTGTTTGTAGTTTATTTATTTTCCATCTTATTAAAATAACTCGACGAAATGGACGGCCAAACGATGTTGACATGTCATCAAGAATATATGGAATGTGATCATTGTAACTTAAAAAAATTTACCAAAGTGAAAAATAAAAAGGGGTTTATTTGGTTCAATTTAATGAGAATGAAAATATATATATATATATATATATATATATATATATATATTTAATTAATGAGAACAGAATTAAATGAAAATGATGAGTATTCCATTTTCAGACAGACCTTGTGTCATCATCATATGTAACTCAAGTTGAATACAAATTTAGTCACTCAAGTTTTGATCATTGCACGAAGAATTGACAATGAAAAGAAATATAAATAAATCTAATTTTATTTAATTCTCCATATATTTGAAGTTTTAGAATTGGTTCAAAATTTAGACAGTAAAAATAAATAAATAAACAAACTTTTTTCTTACAATGGTCTTTAAGATAAAGTGCCTTTCATGACAAGTATCAGCCCTCAAATTATTGAGATTCTTGTGACATTCTCCCTCAATTAAACTCGTAACGTCTTCGTTACTTATTCAGATGGGACACCGGGACACCTCCGAGCCGAACCCTTGACGTAACGCATAATTAAAGAATGGGTCTATCTTTGATACCAATTATAACAGATCGGATGTTTCATAATCTGATCCAAAAACTTAAGGACATGTTTGGTTTCAAGGGCGAATCTAGGAATTGTCAATGGGGAGGCTAATATTGAACATAAATTTAATTACACAATTTCATAAGCAAATTTTTTTTGAATGGGTTAAAAAGGGGGGCTAATACTACTATTAAAAAAAAATTTAAAATTAGGCTGAAAATACAATACTAAAAAATTTTTTTTTTTGGGGGGGCTCAAGCCCCTCTCTGTGTTCGCCTGTGCTTGGTTTATAATTTTGAAAACAGTTCTTAATAACTCATAAAACAGAAAACGGTTTTCAGATAACTAATTTTATAGTTCTTTAAAAATAGAAATGTTTAAACTATTTCTATAATTACAAATCCAAGTAACCACCAATCCATATCTACCCATTTTACTTTCCGTCCAGTTCGGACTAAGATCCTCTAACAAATGCCATCCATGCATACAAGTTTATTGCCATGGCGGGTTGGGTTCGGCCGGGCTGGGAGCGTCTGAGGCTTTTATTTTGCAAACTTTTATCTATATTCTGGTGCAAGCCCAGAACGGGCAGATTTTTTTTTGTAAACAATTAGGAAAGTATTAATGGCCCATAAACATACAGCCCAGTCCTCTACTATAAACAAAGAGGCCCAGTTCTTTAGCTTGAATTATGAAGTCACATATGCAGAAAATAAATAGATAAAAAAGATATTTCATACTTTTGTTATCAATTACAACAGTTTCAGAGCTCTGAACAAGCTGAAGAAAAAACGCTAGTAATGGAGGCAAGTTCAGTCCTCACCGCTTCTTCTTCTTCTTCCTCATACTGTGTCTCTTCCTCAACACGCCAATTCACTTTCAACTCTCAGTTTTCTCTCTCTACTTTCGGAAACTACCCATTTGTTAGTTTCCCCATCCAACAACAACGCCGCTTGCTTTACTCGTGTCGCCGGAGCTCTCCTCTTCGCACTTCTTCGGCTCGCGCTGCTGTTGGGGAAGTTCTCGAAAAATCGGCGGACTCTCTCTCATCCCCCAGAGAAATGCTGCCCAAAATTGACAAGAGTGGCAGGTTTTGCAGCCCCAGAGCCGCCAGAGAGCTCGCCTTGTATGTCCCCCTCTTACCAATTTTTATTTTTGTGTGTGTGTGTGTTTGTGTGTGTATATAAATAGAGAGAGAGAGCTATTGGTTTTGGTTCTTTCATGGGTTGAAATTTGCTTGAATTTCAATGTCAGGATAATTATTTATGCGGCGTGTTTAGAGGGATCTGACCCAGTTCGGCTATTCGAGAAGAGAATCAACGCCCGAAGAGGTATTAGTATTACCAATGCTATTTCTTGTTTTATGACCATATGTTTATCTTTTTTGGGGATTTTCTGCATCCCTTTTGATAAAACTGAATTAAGAACTTAATTTATTTATTATTATTATTATTTTTTGATAAGTTTAACTACTGAAATTTTTAGGAGTTAAGTGAAGCCACTGCCGCTTAAAATTTTACCTCATTTTAAATGGCTCTAATTTTTTTTAAGTGATATTCAAAATGTGTTGTTGAATGCACATAATTGGATTAAAATTAAGTACTAAATTGGATTATGAAACAGTATATCTATTTAGGTATGAATTCATGCTTGTATGTATCTATGTGTGTCTATATTTATATAATAGGAGAGGGATGGTAATTTGATTGACTTTCTTTCATATATGCATTCAGAACCTGGCTACGAATTCAATAAGGCATCACTAACAGAATACAACCACATGAGTTTTGGAGGACCCCCTGTTACAGCACAGACAGTTGAGGAAGAGGATGAGCTTTTGCGCAATCATGAAAAGGAGTCTGCAATTGGTAATTAACTTTGAAAGATCCTATAGTAATTGTAAAAATGCATCTTTTTTTGCAATTGGGTGGGTCTCAGAAATTGAACTGAAAACTGAAAATGCACTAGCAACTCGTATATATTTATATTACATATATGTTATCCAATTTTTTGCTGCCATGCCTTACGATGGGCTACAAAAAAAATTAAATCGCAATAGTCACTTCCAGACATTATGCAGGCCCGAGGAGATAATATAAGCTTTAGAAAGATTGAGTAGTGGAGATAGAACCCATAGTCATAGAACAACCTGAGAAAATAAGGAACATGACTATGAGAAAGAAGCCACAAGTGTGCCAAAATCTTCTATTTTCTCTCTTATTACTCAGCCTACGTCCATATATTTGGCCTTTCTGATTTGATTGGCTCTGATTTACCCTTCTTCTTCTTCTTCTTCTTCTTTTTCCAATGGGCAATGACAAAATCATGCATCTTTTTTCCTACTTTGTTTAATAGAGCGATACATTTAGATCTTTGTCCTATCATCTTACTTACAAGATATACACATTATACTAATATCCGTCAAAGTCTTTATCTTCTTATCGTGTTGATATTTCTCTTCAGCAAACAAAATTTCTTCGTATGAGATGTTGCAAATTTAAATGGTATGCCCAGAAGTAAAAATATACTTTGAATGTGGCAAAAACTGTAGTTGTTTGCTCCTCGCTTTCGAAGTATATGCATTAGCCTTTGATGTAGTTGATACTAACTTAAGCTCCATTTGTACATGGGATGTGAAATTGGAGTGAAAGATATGAAGGATGAAGTAGGTATCCTGGTGATAGGAAGGCCTTTTTTTCTTTTTCTTTTCTTTTCCTAGTTGAGTAGGAAAGAAATGATGAATGAAGAAAGTGGGATTAGGTAATTTTACTACTATATTATTTCATATTAAAGGAAGTCTTATTCTAGGGATAGAATGTAAGAAGGGATGGTGACTAAGCTTTTTCCCTACTCTTTCCCTACCACTTTTGGGAGGAAGAAATATGTTGAGCCTGCAGAAAGGTATCCTCCTCCCATTTACTTCCTCTCACTCTTCCCTTCTACCAAATAGACCACCAGAATCTGATCGTCTGGGTGCCATACTTTGATGGGTCTTTACCACCGACTCATAAAATGGTTGAAGTGAATTCAAGGGTGTGGATTCTAATGGCTCCTACAAGGTTCTTTTATCTAGTATGCGGTGAAGGAAATTTGATGGTTAACAACTTAATTAGTATAAAGAGAGCATTTCCACTTAGATGTGTCAAGTGCAAGGAGGAAGGAACAGGTAGCATCATTTCTTACTTTTCAAGGTGGTATTAAGTTTGTGATGGTGGTTTGGGCCTTTAGTTGATCTCCTTGGAGTTTTTGGGCCAACCTCAAACAGTTATTGCCAATGAGTCTGCTCGTTGAGTTTTGAATGTTAGTACTTATTACCAGAATTGTAAGAAGGTTTTTGGAGGAGTTTAACATTACTACTACCTTTTTTATTTTTTATTTTTTTTTGGTGTGGCTACAAGAAAGGGATAGAAGAAGTTTGAGGTTTGGAGCCTTTGATCATAAAGTTGTGATATAATTTATCAATATATATTTTATATGTATGCATTTATTTTCTTGGAGTTGGTCAAATGCAAGTGAAAATTGTTCATCTTTTTAATTTGTTTTTGTATCATTTGATATAAGCTTCACATATATGGACTTTTGTCCTTTTTGTTTAATAAAATTTGTTATTCATCAAAAGAGGAAAAAAAACTTTTATACTTAGGGTTCCCAAATGTAGATGTTCTTGGAGCTTTGGCCTAATCTTATACAGCTAGGCTGATAGCCCTCTAATGCCATTATGATGCTGTCATGTCACTTCTCTCACTTGGTTGACGATTTTACCTTTTTCTATTTCATAGAGGCTTGTCTTTCTTCCCAGCCTGGTTGCATTCTTTATTCTACTAATATTATGTTTATTGATAGAAAAATCATTCACTAAGACAAGCTTGTACTTTAATGAGTGTGTAGTTCAGAATGAACTTCAGATGACCTAGGCGAATATTCTGGAATTGTAGTAGCTTTAGTCAATGTAGGAAGTGTGGAGGTTTGGATTGGTGAGGCATGATATTCAATATGGTAAAAGAACCGTGTTTTGAGGCATAAATGAATTAATTATTTGTTGGCTCTCTATGTTTTTTAACATTCCTTCTATAAGAATTTATTATTCTTCTGTTATGCTACTTGATACCCATATGTGTTATAATTTGCAGCCACAAAAACTGAAATCTAATGCTTTTCATCATTGTTCATATTTCATCTCCCTTTTCCAATAAAAATTCTTTCTAATGAAATGAATTTATTCTTTGTTTTTTGTATCTCAGAAGAAGAGGTCCTTTCAGCTCCTCTGAAATTGGTGTACAGCAAACTAATCTTGCGGTTAGCCCCTTGATTATTTAAGTTAAATAATCTTAATTTGTAGCTATTATTGTTACCTAAGCAAGTCATAGCTAACTGTGTTTCTGTTCTTTATTGCAGATTCACAAGGAAACTTTTGGTTGCAGTTGCAGAGAAGTGGGACAGTCATGTGCTTGTCATTGACAAAGTTGCCCCCCCTAATTGGAAGGTTTAATGTGCAACTTAACTATATAAAATTCCCAATTTCCTTACTGTATTCTCTTTATTTTAGACTATAGACTCCGTTTCTCTTAAGTGAACGACTTAAGTATAATTCTTTAAAACCTGAGCTACATTCTGCATTGATTCATAATTTTTTTCCCCTAGACCTTTTCTGTCTTTCTTGGGGAACTTCCATAGTGGGTATGTTAATACTATTATTTGTAGAAGTAGGAAACTTCTTCCAACTGAGAATTAATGTGTCGAACACGACTCTATACTGGATTTCACCCATACTATATAATGCAAAATAAGAAGTGAGCGACACTTTTAGCACAAGGATAGGATATTCAAATATAACAAGATTCACCTTTTATGTGTATGGTACTGTGTGTTTAGCACCTTGTGTTCATGTCAGAAGGCAACACTTCTGCGTTCACATATAACAGGTCATGTAATATTAAAGGTGGGGTTTTGTCAAAGAAGGAATCGACATTGAAATTTCATATAGGCATACATAAATATATATCACCATGATCTTGTGTTTGGCCTCCATCTAAACTGGTTGCCATTCAAGTTTCAAGTCTATGCATGCTTTATTAATGATGCAAGATGCATCTTTTATTCTTGTTTCCCAATATGGGAATTTTTATCTTAACTGATAAAATGATGAGAATGACTATACTATATAATCATGGAAAGGAATGGGGACATTTGGACTCCATGGGACCAAATAGTTCCATTATGTTTTAGATAGCACTAAATTGATTCTCAATTGTCCTTCTTTGTTCTTTAGGTGAGTGTTTTTCAGTGACATGTAGAAAATCACTTCTTGGATTTTTTTGGAATTGAAAATAAAATAGCTAAGTGATTTGATGCTTTTGGCCCTTGCTACATTGTCATTTTAATTGAGTTATTGTAATGCCAATCAGCTGTATTATTATATAGTTGCAGTACTTCCACGTGTGTAGCCTCCAGCCTAGCAGAAGAGTGGAGAAACAGAAGTGAAATCCACTTCATAGTATTCTGAAGAATTTTATGAGCTCCCTATTTAAATTTTTATTTATTTATAGTTACCCTGATTTTGTTTAAATTGGTTTGTGTTGAAGGGTTTATATATTTAAGTTACATCCTCTTTAACAGCTTAAACTTTTGGAGTATATGTTTGTTAACATGGTATCAGAGCCAAAGGTCTCGAGTTCAAACCTCACCGTCACCCTAATTAAAAATTTGAAAAACACGTGTTGGACTAAAAGAAGGCCACACGTGAGGGGGCGTGTTGAAGGATTTATATATTTAAGTTACACCCTCTCTAACAGCTTAAGCTTTTGGAGTAGGTGATTGTGAACGGTTTGATTTGGCTGCTTGATTTATGTGTTAAAACCTTATTGGAAAAGATGAAAAGATTGTTTTTTTGTCGATGCTGTGTAATCACAGTTGTTTCAGGAGAACCATACCACATGTAACCAGGATTGTAATCTAGATTGTTTTTATTTATTTATTTACTTATTTAAATTAGGAGTTCTTGGTAGTATTTTAACTTTATCAAGAGATTATTTTATAAATTTTGTAATTCCTTTCTGATACTTTGTGTTGAAATTTGTAAGAGAATGTAAATGGATGCTAGAGTCTTGTTTTTAAAGTTAATTTAGGGGTTTATTATCTATTTCGGTCCTAGCATACATAGGTGCTTTTGGTATGTTTAGGGTTAGGAAATAAGTCTATATAAAATTTCAAACTGGGGCTTTGATTTTGCCTACTTTCAATTGATGACTGGCTGTGCTGGGGCTTGGCTCTCGAACCTACGTGAGCTGCCTCATACGGATTTTCCTAAGAACTTGATAAGGGTGAACCTAGTTGAAATGCCAATCAATGAGGTTCTCAGTGGATTGGGAACAGACAAAAGGAGAATATATAAACTTGCAGAACAACTGTCTGTGAAATTCGCCTGAGAGGTTCTAGCTCGAAAGCATATGGTACACACTATCTTTGTTTCAAGTCAAAAAAGTTAGGTAATGAGATTTGGTCTCTGTATCTTTCTTATTTTTCTTCTCTCTTGTGGTGAAGAGGCATGGGGATTGCTTGTTTGCACGCCCTTTGGAATTCTTCCTTCTCTTTCTATTTTCTTATTTTCAGTGACCCTAGTGTGGATTACATTTGATGTCCCTAATCCCCTTGATTAACTTATCTTCTTTATTACTTCAATTTCAGACTTGCTTAGAGTACTGCAAAGTTGGGGTAGCTTTTTCCATTCCCTGTTCTTGGCTAGCATAGTTGACAGTATAAGCAGCCGAATCTGGGTGTCATCTGTGGCATTTTAATGGAAAGTGAAGATGCTTAGCAAAAGATGAATTTAATATACTGGAACAAGTAGACATAATGGCTTGTCCTCGTCCTATGCGAGTGCACAAAGACAATGCAAAATTATTAGCTTATTTTCTAATTTAGTAATCAGATTGTTTGAATATAGTGCCATATCTCCATAATGCTCATTTTTCATTTCTAGTTGACATATCTAAAAGAGAGAGGGGGGAAAGAACAACTAGAAATTTGTCAATTCTTGTTGCGTCGAAGTAGCATGTCATTCTCCATTGGTTATCTTTTTCTCATCACCTGTAGGCTTCTTGGATTGAGGTTACAAGATTATTTAGAGATCTCTTGCTTTCCTCTTTTATTATTATGGGCATTGACATCTCCAAGTTATTATTAGATTGTAGAGTTGATGATAATCCTCTTCTATTAATTTATTAGTAGTCTAGTACCTAAAACTTCCTTTTCTTTTCAGAACAAGCCAGCAGGCAGAATCTTGGAGTTCTGTATTTTTCACTTGGCAATGTCTGAAATAGCAGTGCTAGGAACTCGGCACCAGATAGTCATCAATGAGGTTTTTTTCTTTTCTCACGCTTTTTTCTTGAATTATTGCCCTTGCCTTAATCGTGTATCATTTACGTCGACCACCTTTCACATTTTTTATTCTTTTGGGGGAGACTTTTTCACTCTATACATGGATTTTAATGCAGGCTGTCGATCTTGCAAAACGGTTCTGTGATGGGGCAGCCCCACGTATAATCAATGGTTGCCTCAGGACGTTTGTCAAGGATTTGGGAGAAACCGGTGTAGCTCCGATTTTAGAAGCCAAGCAGAAGCCTTCGGTTGATATGTAAATTGAAACTTCAAAGCAAAAGTTTTCCATAATTTGAGCATTGGGTGGGTGAGATGATGTTGAAGAACCTCACTGTGAAGAGCTGTTCGGACATGGTAATAATACAAGGCCATGAGAGGAACTTTTGGGAACTGAGCAATTTATCAACAACCAGTTGAGTGTTCTGGTGAATTTCAATGCCCTAAAAATGGAAGATGAATATATGTGATTATGTTGTAATTCAGATTTTTCAATGTAATAGTCTTGTATGATGATACTAGGATGTACCCTATTTTCAGTCACTGTAGCAACAGTTGCAGCTTATGTTCTTAGTACCTCCTCTCACCAGGTTAAACAGCAATTGAAACATTTTTGTAAATCTCCTGGTGGATTTGATGTTGTAAAAGTACCATTTTGCCTTCAATTTATAATTTTTGTCCCATTTTTTTTATTTTTTATTTTATCACTGCTCTCAACACGGACTCTTAATTAGTGAGGCATAAATAGAAAATTTTCTCCTTTGTTGAATAACGAACACATCAATCGATAATAATATGACGCTTTTATAATTTTTCTAAAATTATTTTACTATAACCTAACTGTACCAAACTCATCTCAAGGGTAACTTGTAGTAAGGTCAATGATACTTTTTAAAATAAATTTATTTATAAATAATTTAAACAAATTTCAAGGGTGGTAAGATAGTTTAACTTCAATGGTAATATAATTTTGTTTGTGTTCACTTATGCCTAATCTTGACTATTAAAAAAAATGATAAGTTACGCATTTAACAAAACTCTGTTTTTGTTTAAGTGAGAGATGACATTATCTCAACGAATGGTCATTTGCTAATATTAGACTAAAATCTTTTTTTTTTTTTTTTTTTTTTGGCTAAAATAAATAAATTAAATTAAATTAAATTAAAAGAAAGAAAGAAAAGAAAAGGATTTCATTAGTGCATTCAACCATTCATCAACAGATAAACCAGAAAGATTTTGAAAAACCAACCAATAACGACCTCTGTTTTTCCTTCCTCCTCCGAGAACAAGTGACAACTTTTCTTCTCCTTCTCTTGGGTGATTAATCTTCCCCAAACAAGTGACGAGTTTACTGTTTTGGGTGGCCCTAGATTGACTATAAATTCTACATCTAGATGAAGTGGTGAGTAGATATTTGTGATTATGTTTTGTTGTTATAAAAGAATTTGAGATATAAAGACCATCTTCTTCAACAGAACAAGGTGTAGTGTAGAGTACTGATGATCTGACAAAGTTTCAGCGTCCATGTTAGCACATGGGTCTCTCTCTTTTTGACTTGCCACCCATGTGTTTGATAAAATGCTGGAGTGGGTACATAATTAGTTGGATGGAAATGGAATCTCATTAACAGATTTCAATTTAGTTTCTCAGTTGGGTTTTCAGTTGCTATTAGTGCCCTTTCACAAAATATACCAACCCGTGGAAATTGATGCTGATGCTACTAGTGGCCTTGCACAAGAAACAACTAACGCAACATTAGAGGTTGAAGCTACTACTGCCCCTCCACATGAAGGACAAGTGTTTGAAATGGATGAAGATGCATATCAATATTATTTTGATTTTGCAAAGAAGAATGGGTTTTCAATTAGACGTGAACGCTCTTTGGGGAGTCAAGAGCATCCCATGGGATTTTACAGAAGAGAATTTGTCTGCCACCGTGCTTGTCTTCCTTGACCGCAGAAAGTAACTGATATTGAGTGACAAAGAAATCAAAAATCAACTCGATGTGGATGCGAGGCAAGAATGTTAGTAGCAAAGGATGTCACTGATGGCATCCCTAAATGGAGAATCACAAAATTCACAAATGTTCATAACCACGAAGTATTAAAAGAGGACGAAGCACGATTTCTACCAGCATATCGTAGCATTCAAATAGATGACAAAAAACGTATCTTGCTTCTTTTTAGAGCTGGATGTGCAGTGAATCTTATAATGAGAGTGTTGGAATTGGAAAAAGGTGTGGAGCCTGGACAATTACCTTTTCTGGAGAAGGATGTAAAAGATTTCTTTCAAAGTTATAAGAACATTGGTCGAGAAAAGGATGCTTCAGAACTTCTTATGATCTGCAAGAGCTTGAAAGATCAAGATGCTGACTTTTGTTATGATTTTACAATTGATGAAAATAACAAGCTTGAACATATTGCATGGTCATTTGGTGATTCAGTGCGCGCATATAGGGATTTTGGTGATGTAGTTGTATTTGATACCACGTATCGACAGAATCGTTATGACATGCCACTTGGAGTTAGGGCTGGTGTGAACAATCATGGTAATTTCATATTCTTTGGTTGTGTTCTATTACGAGATGAGAAAACCATTGCTTTTGGTTGGGCTTTACAGGTGTGACCTACACATGAATTAGTATGTTCTTTCCTTTTTCTTTTTCTTTTTCTTTTTCTTTTTTTTTTTTTGGCTATCCATTTTTTTTTTTTCTTATGCTGCATTGTTTTTAATTGTTGATACCTCTTTTTTCAGGCTTTCCTACAATTTATGGATGGAAAATGCCCCCTAACTATTTTAACAGATCTAGATTTAGCATTGAAGGAGGCTATATCAATTAAATTGCCTAATACAAAACATGCTTTCTGTGTATGGCATATAGTATCTAAATTGTCTACTTGGTTCTCTCTTCAACTAGGACCAAAATACAATGAATTTAAGTGCCATTTTCACAAATTATATCAATTAGAGTCGATTGAAGAATTTGAATGTCAATGGCATCACATGGTATCACAATTTGGGCTGGATTCAGATAGACATATTGCTTTACTTTATTCTTTAAGCTCATATTGGGCACTACCCTATCTAAGAGATTTCTTTTTTGCCGGAATGTTGACAACAGGATGTTCAGAGTCGAGCAATTATTATTTGAAAGGATTTTTTAATGTAAAAACCAAGTTACAGGATTTTGTTGAGCAGGTACATCAAATAAGTAAATTTCTTTTACAAGTTTTTAACTCGATGCATTTAATAAATTGCTCCTTGAACCTTATTAGGTGAGGGTGGCTGCTAGTATTCAGAATCTGGTTGGAGAGGAAGCAGCGGCATAAGAGAAGTATCAAAACTCACGTGTGACGAAATTTATGCCCATTGAAGAACATGCTTCCACTGTTCTTACGCCATATAGCTTTGAGCTGCTACAAAAGGAAATTGTGTTATCATGCCAGTATGCAATGATTGAGAAAGGTGATGGATCCTACATGGTGCGTCATTCCATAGAGACAGATGGTGGACGAATTGTGCAATGGATGGCATCAAATGAGGACATCTTTTGTACGTGTAAGGAATTCGAGTTCTCAGGAATCTTGTGCAGGCATGCCATTCGAGTGCTTGTTTCCAAAAATTATTTTCGACTCCCTGATAAAAATTTGCCAATGAGGTGGAGAAGTGAGATGTCACTACTTTTGAAGTATGATCAAAGCAATAGAAGGGAAGAAGATGATATTTCTCAAAATTTTCACTCTCTCACTTTTCAGTTCTGCAGGAAGAATCATTAAGGACTAGAAGTCGTGCTGACTATGCAGCTAAGGAAGTAGAAAGAGTCCTTAGTGTTATTAGAAGCATGCCAAGTAGTGAAGAGCCAATTTTAGAATTTGATCAACATCCAATAACTGAAATTGAGGAAGCCCAAATGGTATAGAACCAGTCTCCATTAAGAATCCAAATCCATCAAAAACCAAGGGGCAGCCAAAGGTAACAAGACAAACAGGTGGTGTTGAAGCTGCAAAAAAAGCTAGATATTGTCATGTCCCGGACTGTGGTGGAACAATCATGAAGCTAGAAATTGTCCAAATACGAAGAAAATTACAGAAGTATCATCTACCCAATCTCCTTGTAAGTGTTCTTTGAATTCTCTAATTGTTCTTGTTCTTCTAATATTTTTCTAAGAATATTAAAATATTAGAAATGTAGGCAAAAATGCCACAAAATTGTTATATTTTATTTATCATGAAGGAAACAACATGGATGGATAAATGATGAATAGTTTTGCAATGGAAACAAAGAAGACTGGATAGTTTTGAAGAACTTGTAATTGCGATGATTATTGCTAGTTTCAGGCTCTTTATTTTGTATCTTAGGATTAGTTTTTTTTTTTTTTTTTTTTGGACAATGGAAAACTTTTTCTCCATTTACTTCTCATTCTCGCTTGAAAGTGTTCACCTTTAATATCAGTTTCATTCCTTGTATAAAGCTTGTCAAACTTTTAACACTACTTCAATGCTCCTGTCTGGCTTTTTTTGGTTGGTAGGGTTGTTACTTGTTTCAGTACTCCTTGTTATTCTGGTCTTGTATTCTTTATTTCTGAATAACTTTTCCTTGTCATCCAGTTTTACTCTCCATCTTTCTGTGTGAGCATCTTGACCACAAGCACATGAATTTGGGTGGGTGGAGACGATATCTGGTCCCCATGTGTACATGAGAAATATCTGGTTTCTGCTTTGCCATACTGTTTTGCTATCAGGCTGTGTCCAATAACTGCTTTTCCATACTCCTTTATTCGAACTCCTGATGTTTCTTTGCAGGTGCTCAGGGATAACTGAACAAAATAGTGACTTAGTGATGAGCAATATAGCATATTGATGATTGTAATTTTTGGTGGATTCAAGGATGAGCAGAAGATTTGTTTCATATGATTGTTTTTAGCAGCAAGTTTTAAACATTATAGAAAACAATATAAAGGTTGTTAATTCAGAACAATGTGAATTGTTTATGCAAACACATGTATTCTCTTTGCTTCAAACAGTGCCTTTGTGTTTATTGATTTAGTAGCTTGTCTCATTATATTTATATATTTTTATTTGTACAATATCAAAATCACTGTAATAACAACATACACAATTACACATTCTTTATACTATGGATCATTGGTTTCCATAATGACTTCTACTGCTATCTTGAGATCAGTTAAATAAAAAATTGACTTCAAATAAATTTTATGCAGACAAATTTTATTAACCAAGTTCAAACTGAAAATAATTTTGTACAGAGTATCTCATCAGACATTTTAATACCAATGTCGACTAAAATTCATGCTTGTATCAGTGTGTGTGTGTGTGTGTGTGTGTGTAAGAGAGGGATGATAATTTGATTGCCTTTCTTTCAAATATGCATTCAGATTCTCAGAACCTGGCTATGAATTCAATAAGGCATCACTAACAGAGTACAACTAAATGAGTTTTGGAGGACCCCCTGTGACAGCAAAGACAGTTGAGGAAGTGGATGAGCTCATATGCAGGCATGCAAATGAGTCTGCAATTGGTAATTTACTTTGAAACATCCTATAGTAATTTTAGAAAGGCTTCTCTTTTGCAATTGGGTGGGTATGTATTCGAAAGTAAACTGAGAACTGAAAATGCAGAACAACGCATATATATGTTATATGTATTTCCCATTTTTTTGTTGCCATGCCTTGTGATGGGCTATGACTTTTTATAGATCACGTAAATTGCTTTCAGACATTATGCAGGTCCATCATCTCATCACTATATGGATTTTAGAATTGCAATGGTCCAGATTAATTGTTGCTTTATACTTCTGGTTTTGAACTTTTCCACTTTCCCTACATTATTTTCTCAGGTTGTTCTATGACACTACACAATTTTTCTAGAGCCCATCTCCTCAATAAAGGAATTTGACTTTGATAAAGAAGCCACAAGTGTGCCAAACCTTCTGTTTTTTTCATTTGTCACTGAATCTACTTCCATTTGTTTGGCCTGATTTGATTGGCTCTGATTTACCCTTTGTTTACCAATAACAGAATCATGCATCCTTTTTCCTACTTTCTTTAACAGACTGAGACATTTAGATTTTTGTTGTATGATTTAACTTACAAGATATACCCATTATACTAAGTAGCGTCAGAGTTGTTATCTTCTTACCATTTCTATAGTTTTCTTCAGTGTACAAAATTTCTCCCTATGAGATGTTGAAAACTTAAATGGCATGCCCGGAAGTAAAAAAATGCTTTGAATGTGGTAACAACTGGAGTAGTAAAAATATGCTTTGAATGCGGTAACAACTGGAGTACTTTGCTCTTCGTTTCGAAGTATATGCATTAGCCTTTGATTTATGCTCCATTTGTACATGGGCTGTGAAATTGGAATGAAAGATATGAGGGTTGAAGTAGGTGTCCTAGTGATAGGAAGGCCTTCTTTCTTTTTCTTTTCTTTTCCTGGTTGAGTAGGAAAGAAATGAATGAAAGAAGAGGGTGGTGTTAGGTAATTTTACTACTATACCCTTTCATATTAAAGGAAGTCTTATTCTAAGAATAGAATGTAAGAAAAGAGGGTGACTGAACTCTTTCCATACTCCTTCCTTCCCACTTTTGGGAGGAAGGGATATGTTGAACCTGAAGTGAAGATCTCCTCCTCCCCTTCTCCTTACTTCCTGTCACGCTTCCCTCCTACCAAGTAGACCACCAGAATCGCATCAGCTGGGTTCCGTATCTTGATGGATTTTCACAATTGACTCATAAGATGGTTGAAGCAAATTAAGTGTGTGGATTCCAATGCCCCCTACAAGGTTCTATTATCTAATAAGTGGTCACGGAAAATTTGACATTTCCAAGTAGACGTGACAGGTGCAAGGAGGAAGAAGCAGTTAGCCATCATTTCTTACTTTGCAAAATGGTATTAAGTTTGTGATGGATGTTTGGGCCTTTAGTTAATCTCCTTGGAGTTGAATGGGCCAGCCTCAAAGAGTTACAACCAATGAGTCTGCTCATTGAGTTGTGGGTGTTTGTGCTTGTAACCAGAATTGCAAGAACGTTTTTGGAGGAATTTAACATTACATTTTTTTTGGTATAGCTAGGAGAAAGGGATTTAAATTTTTTGAGGATTGGAGCTTTTGATCATAAAGTTGTAGTATAATTAATCAATAGATGTTTTTTATGTATGCATTTATTTTCTTGCAGTTGGTCAAATGCGAGTGAGAATTGTTTGTCTTTTAAAACATTTTTTTTTTTGGGTGTATCACTTCGTATAAGCTTCACATATATGGACTTGTGTCCTTTTTGTTCAATAATTTTTGTTATTCATAAAAAATAAAATAAAAATAAAAATAAAAAAACTTTTATTCTTGAGGTTCCCTTGTCTACTATTGACACGTAGATGTTCTGGGAGCTTTGGCGTAATCTTATACAGCTAGGCTGATTGCCCTTTAATGCCATTCTGATGTTGTCATGTGATTTCTCTCGCTTGGTCAAAAATTATACATTTTTCTATTTCATAGAGGCTTGTCTTCCTTCCCGGCCTGGTTGCATTCTTTATTCTACTAATATTATCTCTATTGATAGAAAAATCATTCACTAAGACAAGCTTGTCCTTTAATGAGTGTGTGGTTCAGAATGAACTGCATATGACCTAGGCGAATATTCTGGAATTGTAGTAGCTTTAGCCAATGTAGAAGGTGCAGAGGTTTAGATTGGTGAGGCATGATAATCAACGTGGTAACGAAACCGTGTTTTGAGGCATAAATGTATTAATTTTTTGTTGGTTCTGCTTGTTTTGTAACATTCCTTTCGTAAGAATTTATTATCCTGCTGTTATGGCACTTGATACCTATAAATGCTCTAATTTGCAGCCACAAAAGCTGAAATATAATGCTTTTCGACATTGTACATTTTTCATTTCCCTTTTCCCAAGCAAAATTATTTCTAGAGAAATGAATTTATTCTTTGTTTTTTTTATCTCAGAAGAAGAGGTCCTTTCAGCTCCTCTGAAGGTGGTTTACAGCAAATTAATCTTGGGGTTACCCCTTATTGTTTAAGTTTAATGATCTTAATTTGTAGCTATTATTGTTGTCTCAGCGAGTCAAAGCTAACAGTGTTTCTGTTCTTCATTGCAGATTCACAAGGAAACTTTTGGTTGCAGTTGTTGATAAGAGGGACAGTCATGTGCTTGTTATTGACAAAGTTGGACCCCCTAATTGGAAGGTTTGATATGCAACTTAACTATATAAAATTCCTAATTTACTTTCTTTATTCTCTTTATTTTAGACTATAGACACAATTTCTCTCAAGGGAATGACTTGAATATAATTCTTTAGAACTGAGCCACATCCTGCATTGATTTATAATTTTTTTTACCTGGACCTTTTTTTGTCTTTCTTGGGGAAATTCGATAGTGGAAGTGTTAATACAAGATTTGTAGAAGTAGGAAACTTCTTCCAACTGAGAACTACCATATCGTACACTTGTCGACTCTATATTGGATTTCACCCATGACTGAGACTCTTCTGGAGAATAAAGAATGAATTTACATTTATTTACTGTAAAAAAATTTAAAATAAGAAGTGAGTGACAATTCTTTTATTTGATGATATTTCGTTGCCACTCAAGTCTCTAAAACAGGAATAAGATATTCAATATAACAGGATTCACCTTTTATGTGTATAATTTAGTGGAGCTGTATGTTTCGTGTTCTTGTTAGTAGGCAATACTTCTGCTTGGCCTCCATCTATATTGGTTGCCATTCATAGGGGTGCACAAAATCCAGTTGAACCAGTAGTCCTGACCGAACCAGAGCGAACCAGTCGTTTTGGTCTGATTTTTTCACGGTTTGGTCTGGTCATGGTTCGAAAAACATGGAACCGTTTATAAACAGTTCGGTTGTGGTTTGGGGTCCTTCGGGACCAACTGAACCAACCAAACCATTATAAAATTTATAATATATAGAAATTTATAAATAGAAATTATAGAATATTAACTAGATTGTACTAATGTGGATACTTGATTTTCATTAGAGATATTGTACTTTTGCTAGGTAAAAAATGGACTCATTGAATACAGCATGCTTGGATTACAGGAATTGAAAAGGCTGCAAAATAAACACAGACGTGAATAGGTCATATAGATGAAAAGGAATGTTTAGTCAGTAGATGGACAGGAATAGGTCTCCAGACATGCATATATTGCCACAATATTGAACCAACGACTGAGAACAAAAATTACCGCAGAGTATACATTTATTCTTCGATGGAGAAAATCATCCAAAAAGAAGCCCTAAGAATATTTATGGAACCGTTGGGACCGGTTTGGTTCCAAAAATACTCCTAAACCGGTCCAGTCCGAAATATGTGCACCCCTAGCATAAACATTTCAAGTCTATGCATGCTTTATTAATGATGCAAGATGCATCTTCTATTCTTGATTCCCAATATGGGATTTTTATCTTCACTGATAAACTATATAATCATAAAAAGGAATGGGGACTTTTGGATTCCATAGGAACAAATAGTTTCTTTATGTTTTAGATAGCACTAAATTGATTCTCAATTGTCTTTCTTTGTTCTTTAAACAAGTGTTTTTCAATGAGATACAGAAAATAATTTTTTTGGATTTTATGAAATGATATGGGCTTCCTCTGTAATTGAAAATATAATACCTAAGTGAGTCGATGCTTTTGGCTTGTGCTACATTGTCATTTTTAATTGAGTAGTTGTAATGCCAATCAGCTGTATTATAATATAATTGCAGTACTTCCACGTGTGGCCTCCCATACCCCTCCAGCCTAGTAG